GAGGAAAGATTTATTATGCTACTATCACAGAGGGTATCCCACGCTTAATCGTAATCACAATCTGCGCCACACCCAATACGTTATCATTACCATATTACAACTTCCGCCGTACCTGCAGTACATCTTCCCCGTTCATGAGAGATCATGTTTTAAGCAAAACTCAAACCTCGGTCTAAACAGTGTTGTCGACATGAGGAGCAGTGCCGTTGTAGCCATCGGGGTGGGTAGCGGTCTGTCCGTTGTTCACGGCATCAGGCTTGCGCTTCTCATGAACCATGGCATCGCCATCGTAGTCCTTGATAGAGAGGCCGAGGCGGGCCGGGTCGATATCCTTGTGGCCCCACAGGAGGAGAGCACCGAAGCATGGCTTGGCTAGGAAGTCAAGTACACCGTAGAAAACAGCTTCGCTATCAGGGGCAATGAGGTTACTATTCTAATGTTAGTCACTGTATGGTTATACAACATTCGGGTCTGAGTGTGACTTACCCGCCCTCGGCGACTCCCCATGCGATTGGGTACAGGATCCAAAGCAGAGCGGTCATACTCCCGCACGTCATGAATGCCCTCTCAACATCGCGGCCGAATTTCTTTGCGTGAAGGCGCGACTCCCAGACAAGTTGGTAGACGATGTAGAAAAGAGCAAAGCAGCCTACGTGTTGTTAGAAATGATCTAGCAGGATACTCGGATACAAAGTAAGAAAAAGAGAAAGTGCTTACCAAAAGCGAAGTAGGCCCACTTGTAACGGTTGTCGATGAGGGCACCGATCAGACCGGTGATAACCATAATCTCATCAACCATGATGACCCAAAGTATAGTCGGCCATGGCATGCCAGCAGTCAAAAGCAAGTCAAGGAGCAGCAGAGGCGTAGTGATGAACCAGTCGATGTAACGAGCATAGTAGATCGAACGGTAGTTTCCTGCTACCTTGGGGTCGCTGCGGTGGAACTCGACTGCGATTGGTGTAAAGCCCAGGTTGGATCCCATTGTGACTATAAGGAACCTTATCAGTATATGGCTCGCGTGTTTATAGTTTGAGACTTGAAGACTTACAGTAGGCGATGCATGCGACGAAGACTACAGATGCGGTGATGTAGTGGAAAAGACGGTCGCGACGCTGCTTGCGGTAGGCCAGACCTAGGAAAACAAATCCAGAGAATCCCATCGCAGCGCAAATAGCGAAGTAGAAGTCGGATCCACGTGTCGTGATGGCAATGTCTGCCGTTGCACCATTGACGGTGTTGTCTATTACATGTTAGGAGGATGTCCAAAACACATCAAATCACCCAGGGAGGGAGATATACCATTGTATTGGAGCACGTTATTTCTACGAGCGAGATCCATTGCGAAGAAGGTTGTCAATTGCAAAATTGATAACAGAGGATGGAGATGTACCAAGAGAAGCTTATCGCAGCCATGTGGCTGCAAGCTCTGGGTTATATCTTGGAAGCCAGCCCACGAGATCCAAACATGCCGTCATGACGACATATCTCGCGCGCGGGAATAGAGCTTGATCATGCACATGTTCGAAACCTCGAATCGAGCAAGGGGGTCCAGACTAGGCCACGATCGCGCGACAAACAAGTAAAGACCAATCAGAAGTATACGCTATAGTTTAGCAGTGTCAGTTTCTGATTCACAAATCGCTGATATCAATGACCACTTGCAGCTTCTCGGTGTAATAGATATATCACACTATGCTCATTACCGACGCTAGATCTTCTGAGCATAGCGCCCGGGCTTTCCGTCCCACCTCTTGAGTGGAGGGCCACTAGGATTAAGCTTTATGACGTCGATCTGTTAAGCTTACTTTGACATCGACTTGCGTGAATCGCATGTCCACTACTGTTAGGCTGGCCTCGATTTTACGGTCTGTTGAGGTCTGCTGGTGTTGACACATGTATTTCGACATGGGAACGCGTAAGCATAGTTTTCAAATGTGCCGCATAACGGGAACGATTGCAGGACAGTTGATCATTACCGCATCGCATGGTGGTGTGATCTTCTTGTGCACTTACTGCCCAGGCAGGCATCGATCCAGTCGGTGTTTTTTTACGTCAGTACGATGGAGGGCGTTAGATATGCTTGCTGCAGGACCGACCGCTACGGCAAAGATCGGCACATACAAGCTTTCGTTAAAGCGGGGCGAATCTAGATTCTACAGCGTTGCTAGGGTTGTGCCTCACTCCACCAAAACAACGCACCGCATGTGTGACAAGTCTTGTTTGAATGCTTTGGATATTAATTAAATCTTGCTAAAAAGACTTCGTAGAGTACGTAACATGGTGGTAGCGTTCAAGTCGCGAGTCCAATCGGTTTGTTAGACATGTGGTCCAAAAACACAGGCGCTGCTAGCCCAAATAACTAATGAGAGATTTCCGCAAATTGCTCGATCCCGTCTCGGAATGCACATCCGACTCGGATCTCACTGTCGCGACTTCTCGCTGATGAGCGATGTCTTCCTCAGTGAACCAGTTTCCGTGTAGGCCGTAAGGTATCCTAGTCCCAAGTTGAATCTTGCAAATGACAGTCTGCATGTCGCTTGCATCCAGAACCCACAACTCGCTCTCTGCATCTGCTTTGCATTCTCCGTTTTCGTCTAGCTGGTCTTCGTTGAAGACATAGAAGAGTAAATAACCTTCTTGTTCGGTGGCGCCAGCGCCATCATCAGCTTCAGCCTCCTTCATCTTACGAGGCACGAATCTAGCTTCTTGGCCAAAGTGATTCGGCGGAAGTTGGAATGCTTTTATGGGATCGTTGTGGTCGTTTGACGCGAGTATCTCGACAATTGAGCGGTTGTCAACACAACCGTTGACAGCCTGTGGAGGTGATTGCTGAGCGCGTCTGAGTAGAGTCTGTACATCTACCCTAACAAGTATATCGATTTTGGTCGCCTTGCCTAATGCCGCACCAAACGATTCATCTGAAGTGCTACATCCGTAAATGTATCGTGCGCGCGACATTTCCGTGGCAGGATGTATGGTGGGAAATTCGAAAGGAATGGCTGCTAATGCAAACTCGTGAGTGATGGTGTTAGACGAGCCCGGAGCGAGTGAGAACTGGTAGTAATACAATCGACATTGTTCTTCGTCGTCGTATGAGATGGGGATGTTATGAGGCGCCCTTGATGACTCTGGCTCATTGTGTCGTCCCAGCAAAGGCGACGTGTCGTCTAGGAAAGGCTTCTCGGGATCTTGAACCTGTTCTTCGTCATCGTACTTGGCGAAGAAGGACATGGGTTTACTGCGCACTATCTCCTTGTGATTCGGATGTGGGGGAGGCTCGATGTTGCCAGCACTAAAGACCAAGGATGCAGACGTCAGCCGGCAGGCTAACATGCTGACAGCAGAGATACCACCGGCGCTGTTGTACTCATCCCAAGTGTTGGCTGTGTGGAGGATCAAGCAACCGTCTGTCTCGAACCAACGTACTGACTCGGGATGATGTCGGGGAAAGATACCGAACCTAGCGGGTTTCTCAGGCTCGTAGAAGACTATGGGCTTATTCTTTGCCAGGTTCAAAGGAGTAAGAGAGAGTGGCAAGTCGAGTATAACAGTGTTATGTCGGGATACGCCAAAATCGTGCATGAGTCGTCCGCCAGAGCATCCAGGGACTGGTGCATTAATGATTCTGCTTCCTTCCGAGCTAGTTCTCTTCGCGACCGAGTTTTCAGCTGGGAGACAAGAATAGTGGACATAGGGTGCAACAAAGTTGCAATGGAAGAGAACCATCTCGTTGGTTTCTCTGTCAACCTTGGGATGACCCGTTGTCCACTCCTTCATCCAGCTCAGCAAGCCAGTTCCACCAAAAGCTTCACGCTTTTCATCGGCATGTGAGTCTCGGTCGCCAGGTGCAGCTTCTCCTTCGGCACGATTTCCGTCAAACCAGCCTACTGTCTCGAGGCTTGGCAACGCGATGCGCATTGGCGGCCCACTCTCGCATGTTGCTAGTGCACGTCCATCGTGATATAATATGCTGGTGTTGGCCACGCTGATTCGCTTGACAGCACGTGCAGAACCCAAGATGTGCGTCCAGAAGACAAGCAGAACAGTACGCATGATGCGCCATAGAATGAGCAGCAAGCTGGATGCAGGATTAACAAGTGTCGCAATGCTAGGCAGAATAGGCGTGCGAAGTGTCGGGTTTTCGACGGCAGTACGGTACACGTCGGTGAGAATGAACTGGTTCACAAAGTTGACAATGGGCTTCGTAGGGTCGGTGAGAGAGCGGCTGAACCATACTCCCGAGAGCATGCCATCGCCGTCGAACCAATGCGCCTCACGTCCCAAGTCGGAATTGGTCACGGGATTACCGCCGTTGCGGACGTACATGCCGCCCAGCAGCTCTTCTGGGATCCGGCCGGTCCATGAGACGGGCGTGGGAGGACATGTTGTAGTGATGGGCGCAAAGTTGCCGGCGAGGTATCTACAAGGAATCAGTCAGGGCGATGTGCAGATTTTGGGGAATCAACTAGGAGGGCATGCGTACGGGTGCTTTGGCGTCGTCGACTTGCTGTGCGGTCCAGTCTTGGACATTACGGCGGTGTTATTGTCTTGGCGGCATTGAAAGACGCGTGTGGGTTGGCTCAGGACAACGGCGCAGGCAATTCATTAGTACAGTGGGTTTGATCTGTCTTCACATGTCGCCGCGGCGAAAGCGGGACTGTGTCAGGAAGCGGTGGCATGATGCAATAAAGACAAGGCTGCTGCCCAGTTCCACGGGTATCCGGTTGACGTCTGCTCGTGATGGCGGCCAGACAATCGTGATGTCATGTTGAAGCTTGCATAAAGACTAGTCTGTTTTGGGCAGCGCGCATCCTCCATCTCCGCCCGAGGAACGCCGTCTCAACGACATTGCAAATATTCTATCATGGCCTCTTCCGCGTTATCTCTTGTGCCTGACGCCCGCCGCGGCCTAGTCTGTTCCCCTGCAGCATTGGGTCCATGAGTGACGCTGATTGCATATCTCTCCGGCTACTCCCTTCTGTTTACACGGTGCCATCATGGGTTTCGACTACGCGCTCGTGTACGTGACGCGCCCTCTTCCTGCATTCCACCAATATGGCTGACATTAACGGCTAGTCATCTCAAGTACACGATCCCCCCGGCCGTGGGGCTTACCTGGCTCTATCGCCCTTTCTTCACCAAACTTGACGTGTACAAGGTCGTTTACCTGATATTGGTTGGTACGCGCATCCTCGCCAACACTTCTCGTGCTAACAGACCAGGTCGCTGTGCTGTCGACCATACCATGGGACTCGTACCTTATTCGCACCGGGATCTGGAGCTACCCCGCCCATGTCATTGTTGGACCCAAGCTGCTGGATATCCCTCTAGAAGAGGTCTTTTTCTTCGTCGTGCAGACATACAACACATCGGTCCTCTATCTTCTCCTCAGCAGGCCCACCTTTCAGCCCGTCTACCTCAGCCCTGAACGCGGCGCATCCGGCCATCGATGGCGATACACCAAATTTGCTGGCCAAATCTTCTTTTTGGGCGTGATTGCGTGGGGATGGCGTTGCATCAAAGATGACAGCAAAGGAACTTACACTGGACTCATCTTGATATGGGCCGGCCCGTTTCTGCTGCTGCTCTGGTATGGCAACCATCACTATGCCTTGAACACTCACTAACTGGAAGCAGGAGTCTTGCATACCAATTCATCCTGGCGCTCCCTCTAACCAATACCGCGGCACCCATCATCCTTCCGACACTTTACCTCTGGATCGTCGATACCTTGGCCTTGCGTAGAGGAACATGGGTAATCAACACAGGTACAAAATATGGCGTGCACTTATGGGATGGCCTCGAAATTGAAGAAGCCCTCTTCTTCTTGGTTACCAACTCGCTTATAGTATTTGGTCAGTTGGCGTTTGACAATGCTCTTGCAGTGCTTTACACCTTCCCGGCGTTATTCTCGAAGCCCTCCCTGCTCCCATCACCCATGGTCTTGATGCGCGCTTTGCTCACTTCATGCTCCAAGTACGACGATGCGCGCCTTGTAGGCCTTGGCGAGGCTGTGCATCGTCTCAAGCGAAAGAGCCGTAGTTTCTACCTCGCCTCCGCAACGTTCCCTGGACCTTTACGGGCGGATTTGTTGCTACTCTACTCCTTCTGCCGCGTTGCTGATGATCTGGTGGACAATGCTTCCTCTGCCGATGAGGCTAAGGACTGGATAGCGAAATTGCGCAAGTTCCTGAATAATACTTACAGCGATTCTGCATCTAAGCCTACTATACAAGCCCAAGTCCGGGAAGACTTTCCGGCCGGCACGCAATCTGCACTCCTGCAGCTTCCAGCTGCTAAGCTCTCGCACCAACCGCTGGAGGATCTTTTGCGCGGGTTTGAGATGGACCTTGCTTTCGACAAGGAGCCTCTGATCAGAACCACGGAGGATTTGCGTTTGTACTCGGAGCGTGTGGCGGGCACTGTAGCTCAAATGTGCATTGAACTCATCTTCAACTGGTATCCTAGCGCTTTACCTGTTGAAGAGCAACGGGCTATAGTTACTGCTGGTAACGGTATGGGCGTGGCCCTACAGTATGTCAACATCGCGCGCGACATAGAAGTAGACGCTAAGATTGGGCGTGTTTATCTTCCTCTGAAGTGGCTTGCTGAAGTGGGGTTAAGTTACGACGAGGTATTAAAGAAGCCAGATCACCCGCAAATCGAGGCCTTGCGTAAGCGTCTTCTGAAGGATGCATTCTCTCTATACGAAGAGGCCAAAGATGCGATCGAGCGTTTGCCAATTGAGGCGAGAGGCCCTATCCGGGTCGCGGTTGAGAGTTACATGGAGATTGGAAGGGTCTTAGGACAGGACAACTTCAAAGTCAAAGCTGGACGTGCTACTGTGCCCAAGTCGAGGAGGATAATGGTCGCTTGGAGAACACTTAATCGCTAATACAACTTGCGAGATTTATGCCTTTAATGCTTGTAACAATACCAATGAACTGCCCTGCTTGCAGGATCTCCAAAGTCGTGATGCATGAGACGAAAGCGGAGAATGTGATTGGCTGGACCGGAAACGTCTGTGATTGGCGCACGTGCAGTATCGCGTCCCGTTTCTCCAACTCGCACCTGAACTATCTCTCCATCACCATATTTCCTGGAACCCTTAAAAAGCGTAATATGTATCAAAACCGGCTACTGGATCCAACGGGCGCGTCTCTTGTTTCTACTAGCAGGAAGAAGAAGGGCGGGCCGCGGACCGTAAACCGATCGGCAAAAGGCAATTACAAGAAGCTACTTTGGTTCAAACAGCCTTGTAGGTATTCACGCAGGTCCCTGTGCTAGGACACATCTGACGTGTACAGTTCCCGATAACTATACAGATGAGACCACCTTTCTTGACCACCTTCAGCGCAATCCAAGATTGCAGCCCTACGAATTTTGGTCACTGATGGGTGACGCCACGGTCATTGTGCAGCATCTTGCAACAGTGATCATATTTGCCTGCTGTTTCGTGGCCATCATTCATGATAGAGTTTCGCCTGTAGCGATAGTGGGGTGGGCCACTTTATGCACAGTTCTAGCCTGGTTCTTATGGGACCATTGGATGGGCCAGGAGTTCGCGACCGTCTCTAATGTGGCATCGACACCCACTTCAGATACAGACAAAGCTGGACCACAACCCTCATCAGCGCTCTCAGGACGAGCTCAACAGCGTCTAGCAACTGCCAAATCAGCCCTGTTGATTTATGCAGCTTTACTCGGGCTCAGTCCGATTCTCAAGTCACTGACACGCTCCACGACAAGTGATTCAATATGGGCGTTGAGTACATGGCTGCTGATGATGAACGTTGCCTTCTTTGACTACAGTGGAGGTACAGGTGCACAGTATGAGGACCACTCTCCCTTTGAGTATGCATGCGGCTAAGTCATGTGTCTCTAGATTACCAGCTTCGATATCCACAAATTCGGCCATGATGGCGTCAGCTGTTCTTGCCTCGCGTCTTCCATCCACTACGCACGTCTTCTCGCTGACTCTCTTTTCCATTGAAGTTTATGGACTGTTTCCAATATTCCGTCGTCAGCTCCGCGCTCGATCTCCGTGGGGGCACCTCGCCCTAACCATTATGTTGGTAACAGGCGCATGGGGCGGCCTTTTCATCACCTTGACAGGAGGAGGCCGCGGCGCATTCTTGGCGGGTGCAACCGTAGGAGGCGTCCTCACTCTTTTGAGCATGGGAATCTGCAGTTGGTGGCTCATCGGTCTCCAGAAGTATAAGAATGAGATTCATGGTCCATGGGATCCGGCAAGACCCGTCATCCGGCGGCATTGGGATTGAGCTCTTTATCTTCGGACTCTTCTCGGTAGGAATAGCGGTTCTCGCAAGCGAAGAACGAACATACTCCGTTTGGTGGCCAGGTCTCCGTGCAACCATCGATTCCAGAAGCCTGTGCCCATCGCGCGGCAGTGCTACTTTGTAGACTCGACTTTGAGTGTACCTCTAGCTGTAATTTTCCATCTTGTCTTGTCCACCTGACAAGGTTGTCGCTAGAGTTACCAGTGACACACTTGTTCATCCGAGCAAGCAAGTCGTGAGCTCCAACGTCATCCCCGCCGACAAAATGTACAGGCGACCATGGCAATTTCCGATCCATTGCTTTGCCTTTACTAGCTCCAGTCACTACAATTCTATCCAAGCTCTCGAGACCGGAAAGCATGCTCCGAATGAACTGCCAAAGCTCACTTCTGAACATAGGTACTGAAAGGTGAATCACGAAGTCAGCGTAAGTCTCATATGAATCCCTACAGGAAAACACCTACTGATAGGCCATGCCTCTAGATTTACTCGTAAACACCGCAGGCCGACTGCATCGGCACGAAGTGAACCCATGGCTTCGTTGTTTGCCAGCGCAGTGTACTGTAGCCACTCACGTGCAATATGAGGGCGATCCGAGTTTAGTTCGCGCAGGTCAATCTCAATATCTTGAATACGCGTTCTGTAGTCGAGAGGGAGCGCGTGGAGGAAGGTTCGCATTCCAGTAAGATTTGAGAAGCGAAAGGTGTTTTGCGCGAACAGTGGACGGCGGTCGATTTCGTGATAGGTTCTGCGACATGTTTGGAGCAGAGCAGCGCCTGGTGTTGTAAGAGACGTGCCATCTTGTCGATCTTTTGAGCTGTGAATCTGGGGGTCGATTATGGGAGCTTCAGCAACGAAGCAAAGTCCAAAGATGATGTGTTTGATCTCTGCAGGCAGTTGGAGGAGTGCCGATTGTGGCTGAAGATTACTAGGGGGTGATATGGTAATAGTCATGATTGTAGCAAAGTATATATTAAGAAAGCTCAACCTTTGAAGGCGGTATCACCTCAGCTTAAACTACAGTGTGAAGCGGCAAGGCGTTAGCTGATGGTCACGGCCCATCAGCCGCTGTCATGCTTTGTTTATCTATGCATCGTGGCGTTCCGCCGATTCAGCACATCAGCCCGAGCTGAAATCTTTTCACAGGACGGATAGCCTAAGCATTAAGGTACCTAGCATTCCCCAGTCACGGCTTGTAAAAAGTACGTGGAGTGCTTAGAATTTCCGTGGAGGGTAGCTAAAGCGGTGAGTCGAGACCCACAGTTTATGTCTTCGCCGATGGCGACGTTGATATCGGCGCATTACGGAACTGGAGCGGCTCAACATAAGTCTCTGACTGATGGTCGTCACCTTTTCCTGGCACTTGGCCGACGCTGCGACGCGGGATAAGAATCATGGCTGTAGTGCAGCGCCGATGTGCGTGTTGGCATCGGAGCAAGCCTCGCTCCCCGCTTCCAACACATCAAACCCAACGACACCAGTTTGCACAATAATGCTACAACATGAACCTACGGAGCTGCTCCACGATGTGCTCGGACGCGTGTCGGATTTCGAATTCTAGCGAGAAGTGCGACCTGAGCACAGATTCCGGCCCCCAATTTGAATATGAGCGAGGCTGAAAGAAGCGACTATGGTGTGCCAGTTACCCGCCATCGCAATTTTGGTCCTCGCGTGTACTGGACTGGACTGAACTGGGCAGCGCGTAACTCTCGACCACCCTGAATTGATATCTGCTTTGTCAATTGCAAAAGTGAAATAACAAAGCCATGTCTTTACGGCCAGACGACAGCTCCAGGCGTTCGCGGTCCAAGTCGCCTGGGCGCGGTCGAGAGCGTTCGCGCTCACGCAGCCATGATGGGCGCGAGCCTCAGCGATACGGTGCAGCTGACAACGGAGCTGCAACCCCGCAGTATGAGATTAGGCAGCCGGGTCAGGGTCAGCAATATGCGACGTGAGTACTGCGAGAATTGACTCTGTCAAATGTTGCGACAGACATCGCACGGATTAAACTGAGACATGGCGGCCAGACCAGCGAGCGAACCCATTACCATGGGGAACTACACCGATCTCCCTCCGCACGAGAGACCTGGCTATTCTCAACCCGCGTCCTTTGCGCGTCCTGCGCCCACGGCAGGCCCGTCGGCGGGCGTCTCTTATGCCCAGCCTGGCAATGTTCAGTATGCGCCGACCGCACACAACTTTGCCTACACCGCAGCCCCAGCTTCCCATAACGCGCCTACGAGGACACCGGCGGCGACAGCGACTTCGAACGGGGGCCCTCAGTATGCCAATCCAACCCTCCAGTATACGGCGAAGCCAGTGGGTGGCGCCGGCCAGCCGCCACACGTACGACACAACTCCCAGCCCATGAGTCCCTCGTACCCTCCGTCGGCTCAATTGCAATACACAGCTGCATCGCAAGCCCCTTCGTCGCAGCCCCAATACACGACCATGGCACACGCCCCTTCACCCCCGTCCCAGTATCCCCCCATGTCACAAGCTCCTCCGCCGCAGTCCCAGTATGCGACCATGCCACAGGCTCCTCAGCCGCCGCCAACTGATCAGTCTGGCTATCCACCTCCGCCAATGGGTCACCACGCGCAGCGTCCCGATCACCACCGTGCTGCTTCTTACTCGGGTCCAATGAGCACACACGATGGTCGCAATGTGGTCGAGCTGCGTCCACAGGGTCACCTTGGTGCAGGCGACAGACCTGATGGGCTGCGCATGGACAGGCTGTCGGTGAGCGGAAACCGACCCGACCTGCATCCTATCGTCCCTGGAGGTATGCCTGGAGGATTCCCAACGGGACTGCCACCGCCGAGTCCTCTGCTCGAAGCTTACCACGGAACCTATCAGTCCATCAGCCCCATGCCTCAGGCGCTGATGCTAGACGACGATCTTGACCATCTGCCTGCCCTCGACACCCTCTCTCCTCGGGCTTCTGGCCATTCTATCCATGGCCGCCACCGTTCCCGTTCCACTTCGCGGCGATCGCCAAGCCCTTCGAGGTCTTCCAAGCATAACGACAAGCTGGCATTGGCGGCATATGGCCGCGGTGAGCGACTACCCGAGAAGAAGGAGCGGAGAGCAAGAGTGTATGACGCTACAGACGACGCCCTAGCGCTTGTTGACGCTCTGGCTGCGCGAACCCCCGATGTGGACACTATAGTCGATATCCTTCCGGCTCTATCGCATGACCAGATGCTCGAGTTGAGAGCTGAGTACAAACGGCACTGCAAAGTACAAGGCAGGGGTATCAACATCGCCAAGCATATCAAACTCAAAACGTCTGGCAATTTCGGAAAGATCGCCTACGTGACAGCCTTGGGAAAATATGAAGGGGAGGGGTACTGGGCGAACTACTGGTATCAGTCAAACTCGGCGCGTCGCGAGCTGCTCATCGAGTCGTTGATGGGTCGTCAAAATTACGAGATTCGCGAGATCAAGGACGCGTTCAAGGACAAGCGTTACAGCGACTCTCTGACCCGATGCATGGATAAGGAGCTCAAAGCCGACAAATTCCGAAAAGCTGTGCTAATGGCACTAGAAGGTGAGCGGCAAGAGGAAAGCGATGTGTGGCCGCCCGAGTACCGCATGCGTGATGTCGACGCTCTATACAGGGCGGTTAGGGCTAGGGAAGGCGGAGAAAGCACCATGCTCAGCATTGTCATCATGCGAAGCGACGCGCACTTGCGCGAGGTGTTAAGGACCTATGAGAAGAAATACCAAGGCAACTTTGCGAGAGACGCTCTGAAGAAGAGCAACAATCTGGTTGGTGAAGTCATTGCACATATCCTCAATGGCGTCAGTAAGTTTTACCCGCATAAATTTGCGTCTCACACGTGTACTAATTGCCCACTCAAGTTAATCGTCCTGCAAGGGATGCAATGCTCCTACACCACGCTCTCATGGATCTCATGGAACCTGTAAATGATTCCCGATCTTCCAACAGCCGGCTGTCATCGCGGGAAGTCACTTCTAGCAAGCATGAACGTCAGCAAAGGGTCGAATTACTCATCTCTCGCCTCGTGAGATTACACTGGGATCGTCAGCATCTTTTCAGGGTCAAGGCAGAGTACGAAGAGAAGTATGGCCGCGTAGTCGAAGAGGATATTGAAGAGGCTACAAGAGGTGACCTGAGAGCATTTTCTATTGCCATCTGCCAAACGGCAAGATAGTTAGTTTCGTTGATGATCACCTGGTGCAGCGATACCCGATTCTCTAGAGCCGAGAGTGTGAGCCATGTAAGCAATACGTGTATACGTGTGTCTGTGTGTAGAGCTACGTTTTGACAAATGGTATGCATTTGCTAGTCTAAGAGCTTGAGATTTCCAATGGATGATAATACTACTACCTTGCCGTCTCTTCTATCTTGCTCACGTCTACGTAGTGGCCTTGTGTCCTATATCCTACAAATCACGCCAAAGTTATATAGGACGATAGAATAGAATGTGAGATAACGGGACATGTTTTATCACAGGAGAAAGCCTCGAACAAGCTGCGGTAGGATGCACTCCATGTCTATAATATATGACCCTACACAATCATACACAGTTAGTCTCTTAGCCCCCTCTTCCGCGCCCAAGGTGTCCCAACACCGGTAGACTAAAGAGGATCTACGTCATAAATCCTACACATAGCAGCACTATTGAATCGGCCACTAGTATGGACGAACAGAACCATCATAGATCTTCTCCCCATCGACCTCCTTGCCAGGAAGATCGATGACGAAGAACTTGCCACTATCTGCGGCAGTATGTCCAAAGATAACGTTAAGACCCCCAATTACGCTCTCCTCAGCAGTCAAATGGCCCGCCTCAGTTCCCATGTCTGTCTTAACCCACTGTTCATGCACTATTAGCATACAATTCGCATACCAAGGGCAGATAGGGACGCCTACACCAGGGCATATAGCAAGCACTGTAAAACCGTCTTTTTCGAGCGATTCCGCCCACTGCACGGTAAGCATGTTAAGTGCGGCTTTCGATACCTTGTACGCAGGAGTAGGCTGGAACTTGAACATTGCTGATAGGGCCATTGAGCCGAGGCTTGAAGAGCTTAATATCGTGTTAGGGGCACACAATTGTATAAGAAGAGAGAGAAAACGATTACATGTTTACAATCTTCTTGAGCTGGCCCTTTTTGAGGATCGGCAGGAAGGCTCTGGTGACATTATGCACCCCGAAGACATTGATGTTTAGCACTTCGGTAAGATCTGTCCTGGTAGATCGTCAGTACATACACAAGGTACAGATGATGCCCTAGCTTTCCAATAACGCATATGTTCTCAATACCACCCTCAGTGTGACTTGGAATGCCAGCGTTATTGATAAGAATATCTAGGCCCTGGTCACCCAGAGAGCGCTCAACATGCTGCGCTGCCTTCTTAGCACTTTCCTCGGACGTCACCTCTACAGGGACAAACTCGATGCGACCAGCTGATTCAGAAATCAACTTCTTAAGCGCAGAGTTCTCAGAGCGGGCGGCGGCGAAAATCTTGCTAACTTCAGACGCGTCTTTGCGAGCTAGGATTTAACGTAGCCAAGGCCAATTCCTCGCGATGAGCCAGTAGTAAGGTATTGAGTGTAAGGTTGGAGGATACTCTCTAATTATTTTCTTGTACTGATCTCATTATACTGCGAACTATCTCCCTATATTTCCTCAAGGCTGTCGTAGAAAGCAAGGGTATTCGGTGCCTTTTCGGCGTGGTCTTTCGAGTTGTTTGATAATGCATCGCGGACTTTAGATTTCAACAATACGATAGTCAAGACAACCCCGGTTATTTCCTCGAGCTTCGTTGAACACGTATGTGGCCTTTTCTTTCGTTTGAGGTTTGTGTGTATTGTTGAAATGCTTAAGAATACATTGTTTGTCAGCGCTGGTCGTCGGCGAAACCGGAGAGCGTAGCATCCGGTTTTAGTGAAAGCCAAGTCTACCATCGCGATTAGCTTGGGAAACTACTCGCAAAATGGTATATGCTGAGTGCATGGGTGCCTTGTACATGACTTGCTGGGATGTTCAAGGCCATGTCTTCGAAGAACCATGTTGCGCTATATCCCAGTGAACAAACGCACATTGAGTTCTCTGGCAATGGTGACGCTACAGCTGGACTGTGCAACCGACTAATTGTGCAGCATGCGAGTTTAGAGTACAAGCAGAAACATGCAAAGAATGGGAAAGACAAGATGTTTGTTGTAATGTCATGTGAACAAAATTAAACGCCACTGAAATCTACTTTAGTCTCGCTGCGTATATGTACACCGCCCCGTGTCTCAACCTTGTCTTCGGCATCATGGTGCAGGTCATACTCGCACTCGTGTTCGCACTCGTTCTTGTGTAGAGCAGATATCCTGCCACGGCGCTCGCCTCTGTGGCCACGTAATTCACCAGCAAGCTCGATCGTAGACTCGGTATCTAGATTGGTACCTGTCAAGGGTTGGCTACGTCTCCTTTTAGGAGCACTACCAAATGTCGGGACGGAGTTTGGATTGCCGTAATTACTGGGGCCACTGGACCTGTCGTTCGACCTCAGATAGGTGAATATGCCACCGCAAGAGCGAAGAATGGGGCGAAGAAGAGGGAGGGATGCTAGTACAAGGGTTAGCCAGTCATCCTAACAATGAGGGTTGATATAGATGACTGACTTGCAAAAGATGCCAAGTTTACATCGCACACTGCCCATATCTGGTCGTCGATGCCATCGAAAGTGAGGTCCTGATCGTTCTTTCTACCCAGCGCGACAGTATGAATAATAGTGCCAAGTGCTGAGCCGCAGACTCTTTAATCGCGTCAACAAAATTCAAATGATGTCGTGTGTGTGTGGAGAACTCACAGTAGCCCGGATGCGAACATGGCTGCCACGGCGATCTTACGTGCGGCTGAGATGTGAAGTCTATAGATCTCGATGAGTGGACACAGCAGTATTGCAACTTCAAGAATGAAGTGCGGTATGCTTGCTGCAAAGAGCGACAGCATCGGTGTCAGAGGGCATTTGCCCGGGACGTCTTTATGCCAAAATTTCCGAATCGGTTGACATTGCATGGAGATGAGTGTGACCTTTTGAGGTCAGCATGTTGCTCTTGGAGTCCGAGGTCGATTGTCCACTTACTCTGACGATGATCCAAACTACCGAGCAGACGAACAGGATTCTAATAGGCTGCCTAATGATTGAAAGTGAAAAGGTTCTCCAGTAGAAGCCTAGTATCACGAACTTCGACAGCCCAACGGAGAATGTGTAGAACCACATGTCTACCCAGAGGTCCAAGAAATAATGGTACACAATCTCATCCTCTGGCATGTCCACGTCTTGAAGCGACTTTCCTAGTCCCCATCGCATCTCTTGCTATTGTTAGTGCGCAGTTGGCTCGACTGTGCGATACTACGTACTGTATATGCTAATGAAGGTAAAGGCGCTTCCGTTGGAGAAGGCAATAACAGCCAAAATATCTTCCCACACCAAAGCATGCCTAGTCTGACGGCGAGAAGCCAGCCGAGAGACTAGTGCAATCGCAGCAGCTACATAAGGTATAAGCGCCGCTGTGTAGAGTTCAGGTTGTCTGTTTTGCCCCATGGCAGACCGCAAAGTGGATCGTACGCCAATGATATAGGCTATCAAAGGATGATGTTACGAAGTAAAGCGCTGCATGAGCAGCTGAGATAGATGGTAAACAAAGTGGTACAATTGACGCGGTAAAAGCTTGAATTTGCGACCGTTACACCTTTTGCATCTCATAAGTGATGCTAGCAGCAGTGGTTCCAAGCCAGGACAACCCTTACTCAAGTCACACCCGCAGCCCCGCCTGAGCGGTCAGTTGACAGTCGATAAGCGCAAAACGCTTGATAGGGTCGCTACACCCCAGTAATTGTAAGGATACACGATGACATGGCTCGTTTCGGTGTAGGTCTTCTCGTATTCAGGCCACAATGCAGCACCACCAAACGTACATCCACGCAATCTGGAGTGAGCGGCGCTGCAGACCTTATTGTTCTGGAAAGCAATCTCTTGGTATCCAGTGGAGATAATGTGCAGTAACACAAGCCATTGTACGGCACAGGCTTTCTCAAGGGCCTGGTCTTGTTTGGTCATTCGCGATCATTGTGGTCTACTTTGCAAGTTTGGATTGTACATTAGCCAATTTCCACAACGCGCAAAACACGGATCCTGATTCAGTGAGACTTATTGGACGGTCTTTTGTTCAATCGTGAATTCTCAAGTCTTGCACCCAACCCCAGATACTCGTAGTAGTGCCCGTGATGGCTGCTCAAGCACGGAATTGCAAGGAATCTCCACTGTCGCTTGTTCGTAGACGCGGAATGAAAGCGCGATCGAGGAGTCCCGCACATAGCGATGATCCTGGACTGTAGATCAACGGTGCTGCATCGGAATATGACTGCAGTCAATGGGCGTCATGTGGTATGGAAGCAATCCTATTTGTTCGGATCCATCCGCAGGGCGCCCTGATGGAACAGATAAAGAATCGAAGGAATCAGCCAGACTGGATGTTTGTGACAAGGGTCCGGGCCGAACGTGTATACCGGCTATGGTGCATATCTTCCGATTAGCATGACGTCTTTGCGGCACGGTTCGCGGCAGTGGGATTCCCTCATTCGTGCCGTACTGCAATCTGATCGGTCATCCTACAGGGGAACTCAGATGCCATCTAAGGGTCCAGGCGGCTATCATGGTTTCATGGTGAACCCGGCACGCGGAGATCTCCAGTCGTGACTCATTGCTACTGGTGGACTAACACCAGATGCATTTTGAGGTAATTCATCCGCGTATGTGTGGAATATGTGCGCGAGATTGTTCTGCTGCATTAAGATGCGTGCCCTTTCTAGTCCCCGTCGAATGAGGGGAAGATGGGCCCATGGTCGCAGTACATCGTATCCGTTCCGGATATGCTGCTCCTGCTTAGTCTCTTCGATGAAGGCGAGAGCCGGGTGGTCGAATGCAATAAGGAGAGTTGCAAAGCACGCAAATGTTGGATACAATGTGAAGTGCGTTCCCATCTTCCTTCCCATGAGCTGCTCGTCTGCTATACTTAGAAGCAGGGCTGAACTCTTTATGCAGTGTCGTGCGTGATCCCTTGTGACCACTATGGTTTCGTGGTCTTGAGCGCCAGCCTCCTCTTCACTAACTTCCAGTATCTTGAGCACTGATGGCCAGCCAAGCACTACGTGTAAAGCGATATACTGAACCCGCAGGAAAGATTTCCTAGAATCAAACAGCGGGGTCGAATCGATAGGGAATTGGACGACTGAAGGTAGATGATCGTACCATTCGCGTACTTGTTTGCGCAACTCGCCAATGACAACAGGTGCAAATATGACCTGTCCTGTAACTGAAAGGGAGGCCGCAAAGTCAGTGCACGCTGCAATTATCGATTTCGCAAGCACTTACAGTATCCAACAACTTCAAGGGTTTGTGTCAAGAACTTTCTGAGGCTGATTTGCGCTAGAAAGAAATAGAAGCCTGAATCTTCCTCTTCAAACTGGGGAAGCGGAACTAATTCGTGGAAATGGCGCAGTCCGATGGGATGCATCTTACATGTCGCCTCGAGCTCATGGAGTATTGTGGAACAAGCCCAAAACGCTCGATTGAATGCTTCTTGATCGGAAGGATTGTATCGCTGCATTATTCTAGATGATAGGATATGCATGCAATCACGCGCTGCTTGCGTGATAGAATTCCATGTCTGTAAAGGTCTAATAGCAAACTTGAAGTACGAAGCTTGCAGGATCCGACACTGAAGGGTGGCCAGATTGCCGATACGAAGCGATAAATGCTCGAGAATTCTTGAGCCACGTGCAAAGTACTCCAGTCCAGGTGTGAGGTTGTCTGAATTATTGTTTCTATCTTCAGAGATAGCACCAAGGGCCAAGATCAAAAAGGCCAGGCATGTCGGTGCATCGGATGATGCAAAACTATCCAAGTCTCCTTGTTCGAGCGCGTTGATACACGTTTGTTGGTCGAAGATTGGTGTCCAACGAAGGAAGTTCTCCACAAACGACTGTTGGAGTCGCCGGCAAGTTCGTCGCGATAAGTCCGCTGGACGCAATATGACTGCATCACATTGGTCGGCTAGTCGTTCACCAGCCAGGATCTCGTCATCGTAAAAGTCAGCTGTGTAGTCCCAACTCTCTACGTGTATGTATGGAGGCGCGCGGAAAGTTGTAAGACTAGGTCTTGGGGTTTTGCCTTCGGTGCTTGTCTGTCGGTAAGCGAAATCATATGACACTGGTGTGCCGACCGATGGAATGGACATGATTGTATTGTTGACCATCTCGATGGCCATTCTATTGGCGCTTGAGTGTCGAGATCTAGGCTCCGGTGGAGGGTATATGTCGCTATGAGTAGACGTATTAGGAGAGAGCGCGGCGGACCCATGTACACATTGCTGCGTAGAATCCAGTCTGGCTTCAACTTGTGCTAGTCGTCTTTCAATGCTTGACCAAGCTTCTGGTGAGGGACCAACTGGTTTCGTCCGGTCGCCGACTGTTGGTTTCCGATAAGTACATTCAATTCCAAGCTCAGTACAAAAGCCACATGACTGTAACTGTTGGTGAGCGGTACGTGCAAAGCAGATGTCGTCTCACTGACCGGTTTCTGAGCGTCACAACGAGTCTTCCGGAATCTACAGACGTTGCACTAAAAAGTATGAGTATTCCAGGTAACGAAGTGAGAAGCAATTTCGACCCACGGCTATCGCTATACGTTTTCTGGGGTAGTTCTCGACGACAGCCAGACTATCATCCACTGGGCTTGTGGACGGGCGGCGATCATTTGGTGGTACGCGTGACTGGTCTGATCCAACCGATTCATCATGCTTCCGTTTCTCAGCCATGACAGCACCCGTTAATCGGATATTGTTGTAGGAAACAGACCAGATGCATGGTTGTGACTGGGCCGCATTCATAGGAAATGGCCGTCCGGAGTGGGTGATCCGGCTTGCAGGTTCCGTCCCGTGTGGAGACCCCGCATCCTTGTGTTGCCTCCTACTTCGAGCGGGTAACCTACATGAGACTTATCCTGCACAATTGACAGGCTAAATTTAAGACGTGTGTCAGTTCGTTATTACACGATAATGTACATTTATGTTGCTTCATACGGCAGCCCGTGCCATGTTCTCTTTGGCTTCTTTCTCTTTCTTGCGCGCTTCACGTTCAGCCTTGCGCATAGCTCGTAGATCCGGTGGCTTCTCAATGCCTAACCTAGCTCTTAAGTCGTCAATGTCTGTTTCTAGTTCTTCCTCCCAGTAGATGTTAATCACGTCGGCACTTTGTGCGCCGTTCCTTGTAGCCCACGGTCCATAGACGTCCCAGAAACGTCTCCATTCAGCCTTCTTCAAGGTGAAGGCGCTGAATACAGCCAAGCCAGTCATAGGCAGGCCAGTGTTTGCGAATTCGAATGCTTTCAGGGCAACTTCGCCCTCACGGAAGACGGGTAGTCCTACCAGAGCGTGGTAGAAGTCATGACACTCGCGATATCGTTGCATGACATATGCGCACTCCTCGTCATCTATGTATTGTACTGCCGCCCGCGTATCTGGAGAGACGCCTTCGCGATCAAGCCATGCAGCATACGCATGGCCCAGTGTGTTCGGGGGTAGGTTGCGAAGGCGGGGAATGTCAAGCGAGGTGGACGTCAATCGCGGTCGGTCGCGTAATATTCGTCGGCCAGTTGGGTTCAGGAGCATGCGATCGCGAAGCTTGTATATGAAGTAGGGCTGTGCGGTTGCTTCACCAAAGGATGCGATGAGGTCTGACTTGTGTAAGCAGCGCACGCTGATGTGAAATCTCTGGATCTCATCTCACCTCCTCTCCGGGGGTCCAAGAAGCTTCCAAGACCCGAACCTACTGCCAGCCCTAATCTTTCCACGCGTGTTAGTGGTATGTGGCCCTCATACTTGGGCGGAGGGCGATTGAGGACTGAAAAGCAGCGAGATGGCTGTACAAACGAAGACGCCTGGAACGATGGGCACCACGTCAGCTTCTGGAGCTGATGTATTCGCACATTTCTCGCCATTTACGCGTGTCAATGAAGAATTAGGTGAGGCGTAGGAAAGCTGGCTGGCATCGTTCTGAGCTGATGACATGATGCAATCTTATCGATACGCCACATGCCACCAGCCACACCAAAAGTATGTCAATCATGACTCTTTCTTTGACTTCCGAAAAAAGACAATTGCGCCATCCATTGCTACGCCATCGATGAGCTGACATACATTTGCAATTGCCACTGTCATCTACCGTCGTGTTACTGAGGCTGCTTGTTCAACAGCTTGGACCTTGATCCGGCATAAAGCAATTTGTACCTAGGCAGACTGAACACTGGTTGTACAGCAAGCTTTATTGGGAATCTTCAGTATGGCATTCCGTACTTCCAGTCAAAATATTCCCTCTAGATCTGACTACTGACAATTTCCAAGATTGTATTCGCACATCAAGCTGGGAAGTTTCAGAATTCTTCACTGCAGCCATGACTGCAGCACTAGACCCTGGTGAACAACACACCCAGTTTGTCGACTGGGCCAAGTCGAACGGGGTTGAAATAAATGGAATCGCTCCAGCACGCTTCAGTGGACGAGGAATGGGTATCGTAGCAGCAAAAGACATCAAAGTCAGTCCCCCTTCTCGAATTACCCACCACTCAACTCTCAACTAAATCATCAAGAAAGGAGACAAGTTAGTGCACGTCTCCAACAAATCACTCGTTCATGTCGCCCTACCTTCAATCCACGCCTTCAAGCTTCCGGAAAATACCACTGTTCACGGAAAACTCGCAGCATCCCTATCCCTATGGTACAGTGGCCAGGAACCGCACTCCTACCACCTTTGGCAAGACGTCTGGCCCACGCAACAAGATTTCAAATCCACCATGCCAATCCACTACCCGTCTTCTCTCCAGTCTCTCCTGCCACCCGCCTGCAAAACGCTCCTCGCCAAACAGCGTGCAAACCTAGAAAAAGACTGGGCCACCCATTCCACCCATCTACCTCCTTCCATCACCAAGTCCCTCTACACGTACACCTGGCTGATAGTAAATACCCGAACTTTCTACTGGGAGTATCCCGACCTGCCCAACGCACACCCTCGCTTACCTAAACGGCGCCCGAAATTGACCGCAGACGACTGCTACTGCATGTGTCCGCTCATCGACTACTTCAACCACTCAGACAACGGGTGTCATCCCCAACACGACAGCCAGGGTTACTCCGTAACCGCCGACCGACCATACTCTGCTGGCGAGGAGGTGTTTGTGACATATGGTCCGCACACAAACGACTTCCTCCTTGTGGAATACGGATTCATTTTGGACCAAAACGTTCATGACTCTTTGCCCTTGGATCACGTCTTGGTCCCGTTGTTGGACAAACAGCAAGTGTATGCGCTGAAAGAAGACGGGTTCTTTGGCAACTACACGTTATTTGGTGCAGGGAAAGAGGAGACGGTGTGTTACAGGACGCAGGCTGTCCTTAGGCTGTTGGTTCTGGATTCGAGGAGGTATTCGGCGTTTGTGTCTGGGGATGATGATGGAGCGAGGGATCAGGCGAGGTTGAATAAGTACCTGGCGGATGTGTTGACCAAGTACTCGAGGGAGATAGTGGATACCTTGGAGGAAGTTGAGGGTCTGGATTTGGGTGAAGAAAATGAGCATGAGCTTGCGGAAGGCCAGAAGGAGACCTTGATGAAGAGATGGAAACAAATACGGAGTGTCGTGAACAAGGCCATCGAAGCACTTACAAGGTAGAGAGTTGCAGAAGAGATTTAGTAGTTCAGGGCGCTTGTTGGTCGATCCCGTCAACATATAACATTTATGATCATTGAGCTGTGCATATCAAGAGTTCTACTAAGAAGCCCGTTGACCTTTTACGCTTTCAAGACACGCTACTAAACAAATCTCGGCCTACCATCACCTACGCCACGCTACCTACGACCAATGCAGCGACACCTTCTTCCTCGCTCCTTACGTCAATCTTCATCGTCACACCAGTCTTAGCACTGAAGGCCATCCGCACCATCGCAGCAACCTTGCCGCCTGTGATGGTCTTGCCGTAAAGCTTGAGAGTATGTGTTGAAGTTGACAGAGTGACGTCTGTACCTTCGAGAGGTTGGAGGGAGAGTGTCTTGGTAAGTTGCTCAGTTGCATCTGTAAACTGTCAGTCGTGTGCTCGCCATTAGAGATAGCTTGTAACATAAATGACGTACCTGATATGCTCTTCATGTTACCCAACTGCAATGTCTCGGTTGCCGAATCGCCATTCGACTGATCCCAAACGTTATCGAAGCTGCCTGCATATGCCGGAACAACGTAGTCAGCACCGGTGAGGTACAGATCCTCAACCTGATACTCGTCTGGGTATCCATCGCCTTCCTCTGGTTCGTTCGTACTTGGGTCGATCTCCTTGCTTGTGAACTTGAGTACATTGGTGAAGCTGGCGGCGATGAATTGCGACTCGGTCTCCAAGCGCTTGAAGGATACGTAAACGGTACCGGGCTCGTTGGTGGCGAGCTTGGGCGCTGGAATAACGAATTCTTCTTC